AGGCCTCTTTCTTTCTTCATCAACTTCCTTGTCTTCTTCTTCTTCTTCCCTTTCATCCCTTTATTTTGGTTGAGTAAGAAAGCTAAAGGTGAAAACTTTCTTATTCCCTAGCTCGAATTCCTTGAGGTAAAAAAGGTAAACCCCACATCTAAAACTTCAATTCAAACCCAATTTCTCATAGTTTGGTTATGGTAGTCAATGTGGGGTTTTTAAAAGGGTTTTGGGATTCTAGATCTCTTGGGTGTTCAAATCTCTCTCTAAGAGTCTAGAGTCACATTTTTAATCTTTCTAAGCCCTCAAGTAAACTAGTAATCCATTCATTTGCTTTTGGTTAGTGAGAGAAGTGGGAGAAAGCTCTCAAGTGAAGGGCAAAGAGAAATAGGTGCTTGGATGAGCCTTGAGTTGTCCATTAGCCTCTAGGTGTAAGGTAACACACTCCTAACCTTCCCTTACTACTTGTAGATCAACATGTATAATTATGATGCTTGTATGAGTGTATGAAACCATTTGTGTGCACTTGGGGGGTTTAAATACATGAAAACGGGATTTGTTATTATTCATGTGTAAAGTAATGAACTTTCATGTTCCTTAAGTATTAAATAAACTTTAATCACTATTTGGGGGCCTTGGGGACACTTTAGGAATGAATTGGAGGATTTTAAATGAGTGAAAAAGAGTTTTCTGGGCAGAGGGTATCGATACTTTAAGAACAGTACCAATACTATCGGTCATGTAAGGGAAAAATTCAAAGGGTTTATGAGGAGATTATCGATACCCTATCAAGGAAGATTGATAGTGCTCAAGTGGTATCGATACTCGAGGCTTAGTATCGATACTCGAGGCCTTGATCTAAAATATCGAAGTTAATATTGGTATTGATACTCATAGGAGTTTCGATACCCATAGGAGTATCGATACCAAGGGTAGAGTATCAATACCGATGTATTTTTCAAAACATCGAAAGTAATTTTGGTACCGATACTCAAGGGAGTATCGATACCCCAAGTGGGTGAGTATCGATACTCTCAAGAGATTATCGATACTGAGATAATTTTTAAAACATCAAATATATTTTTGGTATCGATACTCGGGGAAGTATCAATACCACATGAGGGGAGTATTGATACCCAAGGAAGAGTACATGAACCATCATGATTGTTTAGCCCATAAGCCTAGCTAAGGCTAGAGGGGCGAAACCAAGGGGTATAGTACGTGAAACCTTTTAATAAATTCACAAGTGGAATACCTTAATTATTTGTGTGATAGCATAATATCTTAATGAGGTAGGATCCCATAAGACTTATGACTTTGTATGATGCTCGAGAAATGACAATAACACCCTAGTTACTTGTACGAATATTGTGTGGTAAATTGAGGATTATCCGAATATAACCAATCTAGTGCTTGGGCACTTAAAATGCTAGTTGGATGCTATGTTGATGTTAAGTGACCCAGACACGTCCCGAGTTTTTAGTTGGTTCCATCATAGGAGCTCATCGTCAGGTTTTAGTATTTCTACACTTTACCGCCTATCATAGTACGTCTCGAGTATTTAGTGTGCATGTACTATCTTAGACCCTAGATATTTAATATTTGAGTACTCTGTTTTTGTACTTATGTATTTCGAAGACTATTGTTGGGAGCTCCCCATATTCTAAATATTTATTTTGTAAATGTATTATATTTTGGTTTTAAGTTATGATCTAATGCTTAATTTGTCAAATGATTTCGAAAGAAATGGTTAGCCACTTAGGTGGTTCCGTATGACATTGTAAACATATAGACTTCGGGTCGATTCAGATTAGGGTGTTAGATTTACAATAATTCGGGCTATATCCAGTGACATTTCTACTTGGTTTTAAGCTGAACCTGGCATTGATTACGATTTTGACTGAACATTGGAGGCCGAGACACATAATTTCCATTTTACGAGTGGTGAAGTGATAAGTACGTTAGAAGATGTAGCTTACTAACTCTGTGTTCCAGTTAATGGTGCGACGGTAGTAAGGCACAACTGTTTCGGCTGATTTGGAATTGTTCACCATATTTTGGGAAAAATGCCACTATCAGTGGTTTTAGAGGGGTACCAGTTACATATCACTTAGTTGGAGTATGAATTTAATGTGACAAACGACTCTACCGAGGAAGAGTTGTTTTTGCAACCTGAGCATATCTGCTCCAATTGATTGGAGGAATATTTGTTACTGGATAAATATGATAATTTGGCGCACATTCATTATCTTCCGATATTAGAGGATTTTTTCAGTGTCGTAACATTGGTTGGGACTTAGTGATTTTGACTTTTTTATACCGGGAACTTTGCAAGGCTGTAATCGTCAAATGAGGTCAAAAAACGGATGTAGCGGGTTGTCTAGTCATGCCACAATAATGGGCGTGGTACCAGTTCTCTTTTTTTACGCCAATTACAACAACTCCAATTGAGTTTATTCTCGCTGCAAGGTAATTTTTGTTAAAATTATTTTTAGTAAATTTTACATTTATTTTTAGGAATTTTTTTAATTTTTATATTATTTAGATGGAGTACATAAAATCAATGAGACTAAGTTGTCGGGTGCAACTAAAAAATATATACGAATGAGAATTGATATCGTCGTTCCACATGTGGTAAATATTAATTTTTTAAATTACTAAAATTCAATTAAATTTTATTGACTTTATTTATACTAACTTTTATTATTAATGTTTATAGTTTTCTTGGATACTGTATTATGACGATGAGATCTACTGGTTACTACCACCGGGATTTTTTGAAGGGTCGGAGTTGTGGTGTGCCATTGCGCCTTTGCTACAGTTTGCGATTGTTGAGATTCACACCGCAAATAGAGTGTTGCGACAGTTTGGGTCTCATTAACCAATGGATTCAACATCATTTATCGGTCCCTATACATTACGAGATTACACCCATTGACCTTTATTTCGACATTTCTCCCTACCTCCGAAATTATAAAACAAATGGGAAACCATATTTAATGACATCGGAAGAGAGGGAAGAATGGGAACAAGGAAAGACCAAATTTACAAAGACCAAGAAATCATCATCATCATCTTCGTCTTCTGCTTCTACCGATTATTTTGCATCTCAAACCAGTTTTGGGTTTTATCCTCCATATCATGCTTTAACAGAGACTCAGTCGAATTGGGTTGGAGGTTCATAGGATGAAATACAAAGCACTCAAGCATCTTTGACCGAATATGCGGGTGAGGGTGAATGGGATCATATTATATATCATGCTTTAACAGAGACTCAGTTGAAGGTGCATCTCAAAAGTGGAGTGATATTTAATACACCTCCTCTTCAAGAAGAAAACGAAGATGAAGACGATCAAGGCGGACGACCCTGACATACTCTACGAGCCTCGCGCCATTATCATTTGACCACTCCTCGACATCGTTCAAGAACTACGACAATATAAATAAATTTTATTATGCATTGTATTAGTTTAATAAAGTTATTTTCTATTTATTTAAGTTTTTTAATATTATTTTTAATTAATATTTTTTAAATTATATCCGATGAAACTTGTCACATAGATGTGATGAGTTTCAATGGTTAATTTTTTAAATTTCAAAAGTTTCACTTTACACAACTGATGTTTTTTTTAATTCAAGACAAACTCATCACCTTGACATAACGAGATTTGTAGTTTTTTTATTTTTTTAAAATTATTTAATTAATATAAAAAATTTAAATTCTCAATAGACTAATCACCTCGACTTGACGAGACCTAGTGAAAATATTAAAATATTGGCCCACATGAGGCTCACATACTTGTGACCAATAAAAAATATTTTTAAGCAAACTCGTCACCTCAATGTGACGAGTTTATCCTGTACCATAGTAAATGTTGTAGATACCAAATTAAAATCTCTGTTACTCTATTGGGGAAAGACCTCGTATTTGGATTATTTGTAAATGGGTTAAGGTTTACAAAGTTAAGTTGATTTGGGGCATGTTTTAGGCTTAGTTGGGCTTAGTTTAATTTATAACGGGCTTTGAATAAACTGTAATAAATATATGATATTTTTCATTTGTATACGAGCTTGCAAACTGGGCTTTTGAGGTCCAGACAAATTAAGAACATCACCGTTCCTTTTTATTCCCTGAGTTGTAATCAAGCATACAGTACAATTAGAGTAATCTAGGGTTCTGATCAATTGGATTCCCCCAACGGAGCTAGTGTAATGCGTCGTGGTCAAGCTTTACGTCTTCTTAATAATGGCGCTTCATACTTCAAATGAAAGGGATTGAGCAGTTGCAATGTCAAATCAAAGAAAGCAACAAGATTGTAGGGCGAAGAAAAACATGCTAATTTAAAGACAGAATGGTCCTCATCATATATTGGAAGTCAATTTTTTTTGGCAATTTTAGTTACCCAAATCTGTCCAAAATACAGTACACCACGTGGCCATTTCAAATCCATGTAACTAATATATTATACACATATTTATGGTATGCAACTGATAAAATATTACACTCAATAAAAAATTAATTGGCTACTTGTTTTCTTGTTGTACCTATTGAGAATATTTAATTAAATTAAAAAATGGATTTGAATTAAAATTATTTTTATATATTTTTAATATAATGTTTAGAATTCCTTTTATTTTTAAATTAAAAGATAGTTAATAATATTTTTTTGATTTTCCTATATATAACATTGATAAAAATATTAATTAAATTAAATCAATAATAGCATTTTATATTTGATCACTAAAAGCATTAAAAATTAAAACAAAAAAAGAGATTTATTATTTTTCAAAGATGACAAATGATTATCTTATGGTGACACATCAACATCACCATTAATTTTTTAATGACAGATAATCAAATCGGAACCAAAACATAACATTATATATGACTTTATAAAATTAGTTGAGTGATGAAAATAGAATCAAAAGAATATATGAGAGGATAAATACCTAGTTTACACGTGGGCAAATGAGAAGTCTTATTTGTATGATCTTGACATATACCTCTATTATACCAACTGGCACAAGGGATCTGATGACGACGACATTGACGATGACTTGGTCAAGCTCCATAGATCATCCTCGTTGCTGAAAACCTGTGAGTTTTGATTTGATCTGTCCAAGTTTATGATCGATAATTGAATATCATCATCCTTACAGAGACTGAAAACCGCATTAGGGTCACTAAAACATGATAGTTGCCTGCTTGTCTCTACTTGACCATTTAGCTGGGACGCCACGAGTCGGTCCATGGTGACCCAGTCGTTAACGCCATTTATGGACTCATTATTGCTCTCGACTGATGAAAACGTTTGATGATCACCACCGCCGCCCCCTTGCTTGATCGAAGATGGTTCAGTGTCAGTCAGATTTTTCATCGGAAGAGAAGGGAGAGGTGGGCTTTCCAGCATCGGGAGATGCATAAAACTTTCATGCAATCCATCAAACGTTCTTAGATGATTGTTGGTTTTGGGTATGTTCAATGAATCATTATTCTCCATCTTGCACGTTTTTCCCATATGCATGAAAATCTGATCTAGATCCCCATCGTTGCATGAGATTTTAGAGCTCTCTAGGGTTTTATGATAATTCTTCTTTCTAAATACACGACAAACCACCCAACCTTCTTCGGGCATGGAGTCTCCAATGGGATTGGAAGCCTGGGCCCATTTAATAATATAATATAATCAAAACATAAACATACACACCTATATGAGATAAATTATACCAAATACTATTGAACTTTAGTTGTTGTATCGTTTATACCATTGAATTCTCAATTATGTTAATTATAACATTAAACTTAGATTTCCATTTCAATTGTACCACTGCACCATTAAATCATTAACGATATGGTGATGTGGCTAATACTTAACCATTGAACCAACTTAGAATGGCCTGAAAGTGTTTGAACATGAAATCTTTTGCGGAATTGAGGCCATCCTAGTTTGGTTTAGTTTTCCAAAGATTTCATGTTCAAACCCTTTCATTCCATTCTAAGTTGGTTCAAAGATTAAATATTAATCACTTCATTGTGTTGCAACTATTTAACGGTCTAGTGGCATTGAAACGATAATTAAAGTTCAGTGTTATAATCGTCAAAATTAAAAGTTTAGCGGTATAAATGATATATCATCTAAAGTTTAATGATATAAGGTGTAATTTACCCTATATATAATAGGAAGGAATAGGATGATTGCTTACATTAAAGTGAAGGGTATTGTTGTTATCGTCAAGCCTGTATTCATGCATAATCCAATCAGATTTTTTACCATGTGGAGCTCTTCCTTTATAAAACACCAATGTCTTCCTCAACCCAATTCTTCTAAAGCTACTATGTATGATCTTATCACGTCCAGTAGCTTTCCAGAATCCGGCAGCCGTTGCACGATTAGTTCTGGTCCCCGTTGGGTATTTTTTGTCCTTGTGACTGAAGAAGTACCAGTCGTTTTGTGGGGTGGATCCTATTTTGCACTTATCTGCTTATAACCAACAAAATCCAGAATTTCATTAAGATCCCAACACTTATTAAGGATTTACAGTTTAAACTTTAATGGAAATTTGGTAGTACCTTGAATATCCCAGGGCTCAAGCTTGTTAAGATCAACTTCAGGAATAACATCGAGGTCTATCTTTTCGTAAGCCGCTTTCTTTCTGAGGTAATAGTGAAGAAGCTCTTCTTCTGTGGGATGGAATCTAAAACCAGGAGGGATCTGAGACTGTCCATTTATTGATAGATTCATCTCTTCTGACATTAGCTGATCAATTGATCTTCTCTTCAAATCTGGAAAGACAGGGCCAACAACAGAAAGTAAATAGAGGGAGAGAGCATTGCAAAGCATACAGATTGTGGTTGATGTGCTGATGATAATTTATAATGGTTACGTTATTGGATGGTTCAAATATGCATGAAAAGTTTTGGTATGTTGGCCATTGTTGTACTTGGCAATGGCCTACGAAGGTATGGAAATTTTAAATTCTTATACCTGAATAGTTTGAAGGTGATTATAAGATATTATACTCATAATCTTTATTAGTCATTGATAACACACAATTGTAAATCTAATTGTTCGAACCCAAAATCTTTAGATTCACAAACAGAAACCGGTGTCTACAAGGACAATACTTTCTTCTACCACTAAAAGCACTCAATAAATTTTTAATATAACTTATTAAATTTATATCCTTAGCTTAAAATTTTATGTCGGTTATTATGTTTATTTACCCTTGAAAAGAGCCAACCACCTAAAAAATTAGACATTATAGAACTGAAGGAAATAAATTGTTGAATGTACAGTGGAAGTAGGTCCCTTTCTATTGGTGGTAAAAAAGAGGAAAATGGGTCCTACACCCCTAAAATGTTGGGGCAGGGCCACATCTCAACTACAACTAAGACCTTCGATCTTAATATCTATCTGAAAACACCTCTCTGTCCCCAAAACACCTTAATATCAACAGTTCTGATTATTTTTAAACGAAACCAAAACGTAATGTTAGAATATGTTTTTTTTAATAATTGAGTAACTAAAATGGAAGTAGAAAAATAGGTGAGTGACTAATACATAGTTTACCCTATTCTTATTAGTTATATATAAGTGAACATATCTATACAATATTATACAATACGTATGTATTTGCATAAATAAGGTTGGAATGCGAGGGGTGAGATGTCATTATCATCTCTGGAAGGAGCTATTTTAGGGATTATAGGTTGTTTTCTTGTTCCTGCTTGTAATCATTTCCAAAACTGATTGTGAATTCGTTAACTATCTTTCAAAAAAAGAACTTGACAAAAGTTCAATCATAGCTTATTGCAGAGCCAAAATAAAAACAAATGATTTGCAATTGATGGAGAGAAAAAATTATTCAATTTGTTATGATGGTGTAGGGAAAGATTTATTTTAAAAAAAAATAATATTTAATTTATTAATCTATTAATTTAAATTAAATAATATAGAAATTTATTATAAAATATCTATTTTAATATAATACTCTCTATTTACAACTTAATTTAATCTATCAAAATTTTGTAAGAGACCACCTTTAAAGAAATTAAATAAAAACACATACGATACATAACCAGGTACAATAGAAAAATTTTTAGTTGCTCTGTTTTGTTACCTCACTATCGATCTTCAATTTTATTTTATTTTTGCAGCGAGGGCTCAAATATATTCGATATAATTTTGATTTAATAATATTTTGATTCATGTAAAAATAAATATTTGAATTAAAAAATATAAAAATTTATTAAATATTTAATCAAGTTAGAACCGAACTAAAGAATGATAACCATGTGTTCTCAAAAGTTTTGGTCTAATAACAATTTAGGTCATTGAAGTTTAAATATTAGACAAATTAGGTGTTATATTGTGCATTTTGATGTTTTTTTTTAAAAAAAAACTAGGGTGAATACAAGGTAATATTTGTACAAAGACTCTCAACTATTTTACAATGAATGCTCGTACCCCTACATGTCAGTGCTCGAACTCGAGACCTCAAGGATAACAACAATCCCTTAATCACTAAAGTCGCTTAGTTCGTGCTGAATTTTGAGTTTAAATACCTAATAAGTCTTTATATTTTTCTTAAATAGTCTAATATTTAGGCCTCTGTTAATATTTAGTTCTGGCCCCGTCTTATATTTTATGTTATGGGACAAGTTTCTAAAATTTTAAAAGGAGATGGAAATTATAAAATTTTAGAAGGTAAAAAATAAATTATCAATACAAAATACATAAAAAAATTTTAAACATACAATAATGTAAAAAATTTAAGGAAAACGACCTACTTTCACCCTTTAGTCTATCTTGTGTATAAAAGTGGACGTGGTTTAATTAACGAAGTAAAAACTGACGTGAAATGACATCTAAATTCTTCCATTGCAATTTAATTTTCTATGCAGGGAATTCGTTCGCAAACAACGCATTTGTGTTTATAAAATGCTAGAAATTAAATGTATCAGAAAAGAAAAAGAAAATAATGAATGAAAATAGTTTGGAAATAATAGGAGACTGGCATATTTGACAAAAAAAAAGACATTTAGAATAAAAGTATTGGTTGTGTGACTAATCTCATTTAGCATAAGTATCATCTGAAATTTTTGAGCATGTAAAGAGAGAAACTGTACTTTTTCATTATGAGTTATGGCACATAAAATTAGTGGCTTGTAATTTGCCCCTGTTAATATACAACAGATGACAAGATAATTTGAAGTGGTTAAATGAATTATGGATAAAGAAGATTGGACGACTATTTGTGATTCAATTTTATAAAGAGTGCCACTGGTAATCAACATTGAGAAAGATGTTGAATGAAGAAGCAAGAGAGAGAATCCCCTCTAGAATCTGGGTATAACAGTTGCAATTACTTGCACCAAAAACATGCATGTGCATATAGAAAAAGCTCAAATTGGTTCCAAACACAATCTAGTTAGCTATGTGGTGGACCCTTTCTTGATTGCATGTATTTAAGCTGACAACTGGTGTAGGATCAATCTTTTCTTTAATTGATTAACATATGCTTTTCATCTGTTCAGGCTTCATGTTGATGCTTTCTGCAAATTAATGAAATATAAATGTTTGGTTCGTGCATGACACAAGCAAATTAATTCAAGCAGGTACAACTCGTTTAATGAGATTATTGGTGGGAATAACTTAATTACAATTATTGCAAAAGCATTTAAGAAAAATAATATAAAGCTTAATTAGTTTATTCATATAGTTCTTGTTTTTAAAAGGAAGATGTAACCCTCTAGACCCAGCCTATGCATTTCGATCAGATCTAGCAGATTATGATAAAATTTTCCAAAACATTTTTTTAATAATTTAAAGCCATATTATGAATAAACTTCTTTAAAAAAATATAAAGTTCAATTTCAATAAATTAAAGTCCTAAGGACTGAGTAAAATAAAATATTCCGTAATTAGTATCGAAATAAATCTAACATCAGTAACAAAAGCTACATACATCATAAAGCAAGTATTTTCAAAATATAGACACATGTCACCCAAAATAAATGCAACTTGGAAGATAAAAACATTGCAATAAAATAATCTTGTACGAATGCGTCGATCCTATTAGTGACAGGTCCGAGTCACCTATAAAAAAGTATATGAAAGAGAAACGTTTGGGGGAGTGAGTTAGGGAGCTCAATGTGTTCCAGCAGTGCAAAATAAAAATATACAGTTAAGTTTTCAAAATCGGTTCATTATCAAAATTATGAAAACTATAGTAGAGTTGTAGTTTAAAATACAAAACAACCCTCCAACTGTACACCATATTCAGTTCCCCAGAACTGCATCCATAAGGACTTACCCTAGGTCCAAAGGGCGTATGTGCCAACCTAAGAGAGCATCTTGGGTCCATAAGGTCTTACCCTAGATGAAGAGTAGGTGCCCACCCGAGGGATGTGCCATCGGGCCCATAAGGACTTACCCAATGCACATAGCAAATGAGCAACCCTAAAGGAGTACCTTAGGATTCATAAAGTCTTACCACTAGGCCCATTGGGCCTAAGAGCCCACCCAAGGTTCGCCTTAGGTCCATAAAGAATTACCAGCTTGATCGGTGTTGAAACTATATAAGGAATTACCAGCTTGATCGGTGTTGAACCTATATAAGGAATTACCAGTTTGATCGAAGCTGAACCTATAAAAACTTCATACTAGATCCTAGAGTGCCCCAAAGAGCATAGTTTTCAAAAAATAACTAACAGTAGCAAGGAAATCAGAGTTTAAACAAATAACAATTCAGTAAAAATAGTAATCAGAGAACATGAATCAGACAAACATGCTTAAAACTTCAGTAAATCAAAAATCAGTCTTGAAACAGATAAATCATGTGAAATTAAATCAGATCAGCTAGCCATATTGCAAATCAGGTAAAATAGTCATGTGCACAAGATAATTCAAACAGGTATATAAAACATATATATGTATATAGCACACAAGGAACATAGCTCGCAAAAAGAATCAGTCCGATAGATCTATCAAGCACCAGCTTCACTACGCTCTTCGACTGTACGAGCACCTAAGTCGTATCAGAAAAAAATTATTTATGAATTAGTACACTAAACTAAGTATTTAATAGGGTTGCAGAACTATACAAGTAATCACGAGCTCTTACAGATGAGCGGGTCGGGAAGAACCAGGCTGAGCAGACGAACGATCGAGAGAATCACAAGTACCTTAATTAAACGACATAATAATTTAGTCATTGACTCTCAAATTATATGCACTTAATTAAATCATTTAAACAAATACTTAAATTACATATACATATTCGAGTTGAACAGGTCAATTCAGAGGCTCTCAGGTTCGAATGTGTCAAAACGGACTTTGGATTAAGACTAAAGATGTTGAAAAACATAAAATATGACTTTTTCAAAACTTTGACTTTTGGTCAAAGTCAACAGTCAAATTGGTCAAAGTCAATGGTCAAAGGTCAAAGTCAACGAGTCTGGTTAACGGTCAATGGGTAGGTCAACGGTCAGGTAAAAGTCAATGGTTCAAATGGTTCGAGTTGACTCAGGTCGGTTCTGGTTGACTCAATTTGGTCTGAGTTGAATCAGACCGGTTCAAACCGCTTCGGGCCGGTTCAGTCCATCTAGACCATTTCTTGAAGGGGCCATAGCTGGAAGAGGAGCCCTGAGCACGTTTTCGACACGTGGTGGTGTGTGCAGCGGGGAAATGAGCAATTTAGGGGGATCCAATTACTCTCAAGCTCTAATTCACCATATCATCGCAAGTTAACG